CCCCCCCCCCCCCCCCCCACCTTTACTTCGCTACCCACTTACAGATCATATGCTACTTTAAACTGACCTCGCCTAGTATCTGGAGTGAACTACTAAGTGGCAGCTATGTCTTCACGAAGACAAGTACGAGGTTATGCACATCATTCACTCACGCGATGAGTCAGTTATCAAATGCACTTCGGGTGACCCTATGAAAAACGTGAACAATTCAAAGATATCTGTGTCACGATATGAAAGGATCTCTCAGGACAACTATTTCAATATGACCGTAGATTCAGGTGTTATCAAGCACTCTGTCTGTTAGTTAATTAAGCTGAGATCTAGATATCTTTTTATCCGTGACGTTTTAGCTATTTATTTTGGTTGTTTATTCTATATATTTAGGGCGAAGGACAAAGGATGGACCTCGTAACTCCCTTTTGCAAGAAGAATTTTAATTTCAGATCTTGTTGGTACGTCATTTGTTTTCACGAGCGTGGGTCAGAGAAAAAACCCGAACTTCTAACTTCAGTTAGAATCGAGACAAAGACCTCTGAATTTTGCGCTCGGTTACGCTACCACTCTCAATAGTAAGGATTGGTCATCATTTAGCCCCTTGGAAGGGGGGTCGGATAGAGGGGAAGAGAGTGGGGGGGACTAGTAATTGTTAGTATAATCACGACGCTGCCGTTGTTGTGCAGCAAATAGAGAGTAAACTTTGTCCTACGTATTAAAATTAACAATTCTTGTTCCCCACTACGTTTGTCATTTCGTGTGAACTTAACGTTGGCTAGAAGGCTTGTGTGCAAGGTGTTGAAACAATAAGAGATTAAAACGAAGGGTCGTTTATTTGAACCGCGCATATAAGAGTGACAGGCGAATATAGGATTACAACGACCTCACTGTTAGAACTAATGAAATCAACCTTGACAAAAATTCGCTTAACCTTGAAAATTCTATTGATTCCCACTATCATCTGAAGAAAAAAGCCGATTAATCATTCATTCGTTTGAAAAAAAAAAGAGGTGATGAATACGACTTCCGAAGTTCCTGGTTCATCGCGCTCACCATCTTATGTTTTGCTGGTGTTTTTTCAGGCCTTGGCTTTTCTCATCATTGTAGGAAACTCTCTCATGATAACAACCTACAGACGCAATGCTTTTCTTCACACACGCATTAATATCTTTGTCGTGAGCCTGGTTGTTTCAGATTTACTGGTTGGAGCTGTATCCGTGTCGATATGGACTGATTTCACGTTTGTTAATCTCCAGAATATCCCGATACATTTGCCGCAGATTTATTTGTGTTTTGATATATTTAGTGCCTTGGCTTCCATCTTTCATTTTACAGCAATTGCTATCGCACTTTGCTATGAAATTTCGAGGCCATTTACCTACGGCACGTTAACGACTCGTGTGTACAAAACCTCGATATCAACAGCATGGCTTGTAGCAGTGATCATGGCGGCACTCTCGCAAATGCAAAGATCGATAACGCTTAAAAGAGCATATACAGTCTCCGTTTTCACTGTCGGCTTCGTGTTACCAACTATTTTGATACTGACAATGTACACAAGGATCTTCCGAACTGCAAGTTCGCTGGTTCGTAGAACCCCGGGCTTGGACACGGCAAAAGCCGTTGCGTGCAAAGTCCGTGAAGAGCGAAAAGTTGCCTTGACCGTCAGCATTTTAACAGGTTTGTTCCTTATGGCCTGGACGCCTTTCTTTGTTCTTTCAATGCTGGCTGAGTTCTGTGCAGGCTGTTTGCCTAAAGGGGGCGGTATGACTGCGTTAGTGATATTCGTAAAATGGATGCATCATTCAAACAGCGCAGTTAATCCGAATAAAAGAGAAAAGGCAATGAAAATCATAGACAGAACTCATCAAAACTTCTTGCTTTAACAGTGTTGTTACCTCTCCGGAGTCTGATGGCCATGAGATACGCTGTATCGAAATGGTGTATTTCGGTTATGTCACAATAAAATTTACCTGATTCTTCCTAAGGCTCTGTAGTATTGTAATTATCACCCATTCATTGGCAGTCAGTTTTCTTTTTCCCCACTTTATACTATTTTAGCAACGACTATTCCCCCTTTTCCCTCCTGAAAAGCGTGTGATCCCCCCCCCAAAAAAAAAAATTTTCCATTCCCCCTCAGGCGATAAACCGTGACTGGTCGTTAAGGAAACATCAGGAATCAATCACATCAATTGTTCAAGTGCCTGTTGAATATTTTTCTGTGTCTTCTCTTGTCGCAAAGACCAAGGATTCCTTCTATGTTAAAGAAGGAAACAAATTCGAACGCTCCTTTCAGATTTTAACACTCTATGGCGCTAAAACTGAGACTGATCGCGAAATAAAGGAAGAGTGCCTTTCCGTTCTTTAGCATACAAATATTCATGAAAAAAAATATCACAGAGATTGTATCCTTAAGTCACCAAGGTGCTTTTATTTTATTGCGATGCTGCTCGAGATTTCTAAATATTCTAACACATTACACTGGTACTGGTGCCTCACCAACAAGGCGGCTTACGTCCGTTGAATGGCAAAGCGTGTGTAAACTTAACGTTGTCTGTTAGGCTTGTGAGCAAGTTTTGAAAAGTTGATACAATGTGAGACTAAAACGAAGGGTCGTTTATAATTATCTGAATGAAGAATGACTGGCAAATATAGGCGTACAACGATTTCACTGTTATAGCTAACGAAATCAACCTTAACACTAAAGATAAGATAAAAATCCGATTGACTTTGAAGTTCTATTGATTCCCACCATACTCTGAAGAAAAAAGCCGATTCATCATTTATTCGTTTAAAAAAAGCGAAATTTTTATGTCTAAATCAACATCCGCAACTCAACTAAATCTTGCTAAACTACTAGTTGCTTCATAAGGCACATCATTCATTTAGTATTTCTTGGTAAATTCAAAAAGCATAACATTCCTGCGTTTGCACAATACAGCTTAATGGTGTTTGCAGTTTAGGTGATCACCTGCAGATCTCCATTTTGCAAGCGTTTGTTGCGATAGCGAATGACAAGGTAGACAGTAGTGCAGATGACAGCTACAGCTACAACACCACATACTGCTCCAACAATTGCTACCATCTGGAAAGACTGGCTGGTCTCCTCTTGGTCTTCAGATGCAACTGAAATGAAGCCAATAGATTTTAGGTTAATAGTAGTTAGCAATAGTTAAACTATCCAGGGCGTAAGTAGATTTTAATGTTAAAACGTTCCGTGTCTATCAGTAAAGGCAGAGAAACTGAAAATATATGAAAAGGAACATTTCCATAGTCTTTCTGGAGCTTCTTGTCCAGCCTCTGTTAATTTTCTGTAGTCTTCATTACGCTATATGATATTGCATATGGTTCCGTTTGTATCATATCTGACGTATTCAAGCTATCTTCTAGATTCTAAAAGTTGCCCCGTGCGGCCTCTATTTCTAACTTGGTCAGTTATTATGGAAAACCAGTCTTGGTTAGCAGAGGATGTCGAAAGCACCTGACAAAATTCCTGTTCCATTGATAAAAGCCCTATGAATTATCATTTACCTTCATCTTTGTTAAGTTCTTCCTGCTTAAAGGTTAATGGACCGTAGACAACATGATAAAGCTGTGACTCATCCACGGAATCGGAGATTGAACGACGTCTACGCATCTGTGCTTGTGTAACATCCATGGAAGGATAACCTACGGAAGAGGTAGCATTATCTGGACATCGACATTTGGTATTGACTACATTTGCCAAGCAAACTCTGAAATCGCAGTGGATGTAAACATAAGCTCCGGCTTCTGCCCCAAAATACCGGTAAGTTTTGAGTGAGAACATTTCATATTTGTCGCCATCGGTACAATTGTATGTCAATGTGTCGTCGAGGTCTTCGCTGACAACATCGCTGCCACAACTATGAAGTAATGATAACAAATGGTAAAATTAATTAATGTAAGTATATTTCCTCTTACTATTTGAGGTAACAATGTCTTAAATTAACAATTATCTTTAATGGACAAGATCCAGGTAAATCCATAGCATCGGCTGTATGTTCTTTACTGAGTTGATACGAGGCACACAGCATACAAGAATAGCTGCCTACGAAAACTACAATGGTAGGTTCTTTGGAAGGCTTACCATTTATTGGCAAGAAACTGAAAAAAATTGTGAATGGGTTTCATTATTTAAGGGGAGCTTTATTTCTTCTAGAAATAAACAATGTTACTCACTCATGTTTGACACTGTCTCACAGAAACCCTGGCAGAACTCTCTATGATAAAGTTAAGTGTCAGTCTATCTGGGGTATACACTGGCGGCCATCTTTCACTTAGATTAAGAACCACAGTGAGTAATAATGATACCAAAAAATTTCAACACAAACTGGGATAAACGACGCTTTACATACAGAAGTATTGATTATTGGAACAAACTGAGTAATGATGCGATTACCTCATAAATAACGGTTGAAACTCGAGTTTTGAAGTAATTCATTTGTACATTTGTATGCATACATGCCAAATCAAATCCACATATTTCTAGATGTTTTTCACTTTTAACCTCGTCAGATATTTTTACATTTCCTTTTTTTGAGGTGCTAAACCTCACTGAGGAGCTCTTCGATGAGGTGGGTCCTGCTCTGGCTAAAATGTTATAAAATTATTATTGATTATTATTATCATAGTTGTCGTAATTATATATTAGTCATGTATAGCGGGCAAATTTTTCTCAGAAATTCTTACCCGTTTCTTATAAGAGTAAAGTTAGCACCAGTATCATCTGGATTATTGCTTTGTGATGAATAGCATCGCACTGGGTACAAGTCAAGGTTGGGTGCATTGCTTTGAGTCTCGACTTCAGCTTTGAAGAAAATCTCTACATCCAGATCAACAGAGACGTGAACGGGTATCTTATGTGCGTCGTCCATATACGCCATGAGAGAAAAGGTGAAAACTCCGTCATCTGAAAATGACAAAAGAGACCACAAAAGCCAATAAGGAAAAGTAAATCAAAGCAAAAGAAATTTTAAGGGGAGTTCTATGTATGTCGTCCAGATATGCCATGAGAGAAAAGGTGAAAAATCCGTCATCTGAAAATGACAAAAGAGACCACAAAAGCCAGTAAGGAAAAGTAAAACAAAGCAAAAGAAATTTTAAAATACTTTATCTGCATTTGCATTACTCAAGGATTTTGCTCATCCTGATAAATGCAAGGCTAGATTAGCAAACTGAATGCAGTGTAGTTGAGATTTCTTTTCAATGATCTGTAACCGCTACTTCAGTACTCTACTCCAAATGTTTCTCTGCCAATTTATTTTTTATATCAAATTGAAATCAAATCCACCATATCTTGACGAAGGGATTATTTGTTCCTTTTTTCCATCAGCCACTGAAGGAAAGCTGGTCAATATATTCGGTGGCAAAGGTTTGATAGACGCTCCTCAGGAATCTCCTCTTTGCAGGAATGCATTCTGAGATTGTTATATAAATTATACATGCTGTTATCTTAGCCAGAGCTGCATACCTGTGTCGTTAGCCCCTCGGTTTTTGATCGGCACAAAACTCGCCGAAGCTCTGCCAGTGTTATCGTAGTTACACGTGACGTAGTACAGGTGGTCATAAGTGCGCAACTGCTT